CCAGCCTGCACTCTCTCACAGTCTCGGAGCCCTTGGGGGATGTCCGACTGACAGACAACCTCAGCAATTGAGCTGCCCTCTTGTGGTCAGTGTGCGTTACAGTGACCAGTTGTTCCACCGTTCGGTCAATTTGCACATTAGCCTTGTATTATATAAGATTATAGTTTAAAAACAATTAGCAAGTTTTGTTTAATATGCATTCCTTCATTTGAATTTCCAGAACTGGGTTTATAGGCCCAAAAGGTCTACGAATCTTCCTCATTCTCGGAGGAGTCTTGGGTTCTACCGCCATGATCCTTTTATACTACGCTTTCCAGGCAACGTCCCTCGCCGATGCCATGGTTATCGCCTTTAGCTGTCCAGTGTTTACGTCTATATTTGCTTGCATATTTCTCAAGGAAAAATACAGCCTTTGGAATGTTCTCTTCACTGCATTCGCCATCACCGGAGTGATCCTCATTGTGAGGCCACCATTTGTGTTTGGTTCCAACACTGTGAAGATGACTAGAAGCTATTCAGATCACCTGAAGGGCACGTTGGCAGCACTTGGACATGCTGTATCTAATGCCTTGACTCTCGTTATCCTCAGAAAAATGGGGAAATCTGTGGATTACTTTTTGCCCATCTGGTTTTATGTACTGGTTGGCCTCGTGGAGTGCGTCATCATCCTCTCTGTATTCGGAATGTGGAGGCTGCCGAACTGTGGGATGGACAGGCTCTTTCTCCTACTAATCGGGCTGTTTGGTTTGGGGGGTCAGGTGTTTCTCACCAAAGCCCTTCAGATAGAAGAAGCTGGGCTAGTAGCACTAATGAAGACCATGGATGTGGTTTTTGCTTTTATCTTTCAGATTATTTTTCTTCATAATATACCAACGTGGTGGACGGTGGGTGGCGCGCTCTGCGTAGTAGCCAGTAGTGCTGGAGCAGCCATTCGTAAATGGTGCCAGGGATCCAAATGAAGCATTGTTGCAGAAATGTGTATTTTTTACAAGTCCATCTTCACTGAATACAAAAACACCACATATGCACATACCTGGAAAATCAGCACTTAATTAATTGATTAATTTAATAAATTTCATAGTTTAAGTATCATTGTTGATATGGTATGTCTTTTTTTTCATCCTCATAAAGGATATGTTTATTTTTTTATTTTTTTAATTAAATCTTTATTGTTCAGATTATTACATTTGTTCCTCTTTTTTCCCCCATAGCTCCTCTCCACCTGGTTCCCACCCCACTCCAGGCCTTCCCCCTCACCCCACACTGACTTCATCTATAGTTCTAAGCTCTTTGTCCAGTCTCTTCCTGCAACACA